TAGATACAAAGTTAACTGACATTTCTCCCTCGTTGGAATCTCTTCGCTTCCCGTTACCAACAGCAATGCTTTTGCTGGAAATTTACTAATATAACTGATCATCATGAACCGCTGGTACTATTTTATCTCATTTCACTGTATTGTCATTTCCTTGGTATTCTATTTTTTCGCGTGTGTGGCAAACTCACTGTGATACCTCGACCAACTGGTTCCCAGCATGTGTAGTGTTTGCAAATTGTCATTAACATCAATGTAATATATTTACTGGGTACTAGGTACATCTAGAAATTCCTTCTTGTGATATACCAAATTCGTATCCTTTCAGCCAAAACTTACAGACTATATTGTCCGAACATGCGCATATTTATTAACTATCTCTTCCTTGAAACACCAAATAAGGATATGCATCAGTAAAGGCTAGTTGGTGTTCCCACGTTACATATGTACGCTCTCACACTAAGATGCAATTATAGTCACACACACATAAACATGCCCGTTATTGTCCACTAACATATTAAGATTACACACATACATACATACATGAACACTTACACATATATATACTCACAGAAATACACATATATCACACACACAGGAAAACATATCACACACAAATGTGCGTCTGAGTGTATGACCATCGACGTACCAAAGATTTCTAAATGACAAAGGAAAATCGAATATTACAAATATTTAAATATGTATACAAACGAAAACTGGAATAAAAGTCAGACTTCACTTTCAATATTTGACTGACACCCAGTTACATCAAGCATTTTTCAACTACTAATCTTCAACTTCATGCAGACTTGTCTTACCCTTAAAGAATCCTTGTGTATCTCGAAAATGAATCCAAAGTCAGACATTACACTCACAAGAACACGCACACATTACACATATATACCCATGAATGATGAAAACCCTCTACCGTGTTGATACTATGGTAGAAAAAACCCACAATGTAAAAACTAGAATTTACTAATAAATTTTAGTTTTTACATTGTGGTTTTTCTCTACCATATATACCCATATATAAGTATGAATAGTTTTGCGAATTTAATATATATACTCACTTTATTGTACATTCTATTTCTAGTAATAACGGAACTTCACTGGATTCATGTTATAACTAGTTATTTTATAGTGTGAATCAGAGGCCACAGTTTAACACGATGTTCAGCGTGAAATGCCCGTCCTGTTCGGCAAATGGAATGTATGGTGAGAAAAAGACACTTGTTACCCCATTTGACTTCTTAGGAATAATGTATTGAAATAAGTGTACCAATTGAGTCTTCTTTATGGTCATGTATTTTAACAAATAAGAGTAACAATCCTTATACATATTAATTCATTTTTTCTTTACTACGACTTGTATACTGATACATCCTCCTCAGACTCAGAAGAGTTAGACTCGTCGGAGACTTCGCCCTCGTAGTTGACCTCAGCCACATAGCCGGAGTCGCCGTTCACGAAGTACTTGACGGTCTGCAGGCGGCCATCGGGGAGCTCCACGTAGTAAGATCCCTGGATGTGGTCGCCGTCACGGGCCTCCTGGTGTCCGAACTCGTTACTTGAGGAGTCATCGCTCACGGCCCAGTTGAAGCTGTACTTGGCCTCAGAAGACTCGTAGGATTCTTCGGAAGACTCTGAGGTATCCTGGGAAGACTATATAGATAACAGATATATGTTAGGAAAAGTTTGATTTAAGTAATAGTTCTATGCCAAGCAAAGTTTCCTAAGCTTAATTTTCTAACCTAATGATTACTACATTACTCATATCCCGACCAAAAGTTCAATAACTACTCTTACCTGAGGTGGGCGGTAAATCTCACGGCTGTCTGCGGCAACGACGGCTGCCAGACTGAGCAGGAGGGGGACCTGTGGAAAGTAGAACAAGAGAATTAACTCTGCGTATCTACTACGGTTTTCATGTTTGTTTACACGATACACTGGAAGGTATTTGGCATTAGGATTAATTATAAGATTTACCTTGGCGTTCATAGTTGGGCGTGTGAGGTTCGAGTGAATGCCGGTTGCACAGGTTCTGCCCAATATATAGCCGGTGTGACTCGGCCGCGACCTTGAACCGCTATGACTTGTTTTTTGCAAATTTGTGTAGCCTTACCACTGCTGCTCCCTACTAAAGATTGCAAATAATGCAATATCTTTATGCAATGGCATCACAAGTGGTGAAGGGACACCAACAACAGACCGGGTTACTTACCTTGCAAAATCATTTACTCAACCAATGGACGCAGTATGTCTTTTTATTTTATTTTATGCATGGCCATTATTTTATCAGAAATATTTACTCTTTTACTTGCTTTTTGGAAGGATTCTCTATTTTTGGTTGCATATACTGTTAATTACAATATCAAAATCATAATTCCAATAATTAGTATATCAACATAGATATTAATAGATATTTAAAAAAAATCAAGGAAAGATGAAATCAGGTGAGGTCACGTGTGCTTACCAATTGGTCCCTTGATGTCTGAATCATTGTGGAGCCAGTTATGTACAAACAAAAGAAAGCTATAGTGCGGAGTGTGATTACCCGATGGACAAACACGCTGCATTTTTGTTGAGTTTAAATATACACCTCTCACTGGAATAACTAAAGAAGCAAACAGATTTCAATGCTGTGCATGTTTTTCCGACTGGAAAATGTTCTTGAGGCGATCACAGTATTAACTAAAACACTATATTCGTGGCGTAAAACATTAAAACTGGCGTCAGCTTTAATCTTATTTTACTTTATTTGAACTTCTTATGATTTTATTTTTGCATGTGTATCAAACTTAGTGTGATATCTCGGCCGATTGGTTCCCTGCATGCATGGTGATTGCAAATTTCCATTAACATCATTAGAATATGTTTGCTAATAAGTGTATTTGACAACTGTTATGGCAAAGTGAACAGTTGGTCATGCCGTTTGAGAATTCCATTCAAAATCACATCTAAAAAAAAAATAAAATACAGACTATATAGTTCAAACAAGCACATGTGTAGTAACATTAATCTCATCTATATGTACTATACACACATACATAAATAAAGAGACAGAGATAGAAATAGAGACAAAGACAAAGATGTGTGTGTATGTTTGTGTGTAAGCATATATATATAGAACTTTAGTAGGGCCAATAATATGTGCGTTGTCACTGACATTATAAGGGTATTGATGTTATTACCATAATCATTACGTGAGAGCGGGAATGAGAGGTTTTACATATTCAACCAGTTTTACGTATACTTATATATTGTGATAAATCTACATACCCTAAACTATGATTTTTGTGTGTGTAATAATGTAACTTCATTTGATTCATATTATTATTATAGTTAATTTCATGTTTTATGAATTGCCACTTACATTCAACCCTAGATGTGCGTTGTAAATTGGCGAAATATTTGTCCTAGACAGTAATATTAAGAAATTAAAGAGGGTAGCACACCCTTGATTCAGCTTATCTCATTAAAATACGCTTTCGGCTTTCTTGTTATTTTACCGAAAAGTCATTAGACTTCTTGGGAATAATTGATTGAAATGAGAGAAACCAATACGTTTTCATATACATTTATTTTAAATAAAGAAAAGTAACGGTCAATATGTATGTATGTATGTATATATATATATATATATATATATATATATATATATATATGTATATATATATGTGTATATATATATATATTTTTTTTTTATCACTAAGAGTCTTCATCAGACTCAGAAGAGTTAGACTCGTCGGAGACTTCGCCCTCGTAGTTAACTTCAGCCACGTAGCCGGAGTCGCCGTCCACGAAGTAGGTGACGGTCTGCAGGCGGCCGTCGGTGAGCTGCACGTAGTAGGATCCTTGAGTGTGGTCGCCGTCACGGGCCTCCTGGTGTCCGAACTCGTTGCTTGAAGAGTCATCGCTGACGGCCCAGTTGAAGCTGTACTTGACCTCAGAAGACTCGTAGGACTCTTCGGAAGACTCTGAGGTATCCTGGGAAGACTATATAAATAATAGATATATGTCAGGAAAAGTTTCATTTGAGTAATAGTGCTATGCCAAGGAAAGTTTCCTAAACTTAATTTTCTAACCTAATGATTACTACATTACTCATATCCCGACCAAAAGTTCAATGAACTACTCTTACCTGAGGTGGGCGGTAAATCTCACGGCTGTCTGCGGCAACGACGGCTGCCAGACTGAGCAGGAGGAGGACCTGTGGAAAGTAGAACAAGAGAATTAACTCTGCGTATCAACTACGGTGTTCATGTTTATTTACAAGATACACTGGAAGGCATTTGGCATTAGGATTGATTATAGGATTTACCTTGGCGTTCATAGTTAGGCGTGTGAGGTTCGAGTGAATGCCGGTTGCACAGGTTCTGCCCAATATATAGCCGGTGTGACTCGACCGCGACCTTGAACCGCTATGACTTGTTTTTTGCAAATTTGTGTAGCCTTACCACTGCTGCTCCATACTAAAGATTGAACACAATGCAATATCTTTATGCAATGGCATCACAAGTGGTGAAGGGACACCAACAACAGACCGGGTTACTTACCTTGCAAAATCATTTACTCAACCAATGAACGCAGTATATCTGTTTATTTTATTTTATGCTTGACCATTATTTTATCACAAATGTTTACTCTTTTACTTGCTTTTTGGAAGGATTCTCTATTTTCGGTTGCATATACTGTTAATAACAATATTAAAATCTTAATGCCAATAATGAGTATATCAACATAGCTATTAATAGATATTTAAAAAAAAAAATCAAGGAAAGATGAAATCAGGTAAGGTCACGTGTGCTTACCAATTGTTCCCTTGATGGCTGAATCATTGTGGAGCCAGTTATGTTCAAACAAAAGAAAGCTATAGTGCGCAGTGTGATTACCCGATGGACAAACACGCTGTATTTTTGTTGAGTTAAAATATACACCTCTCACTGCGATAACTAAAGAAGCAAACAGATTTCAATGCTGTGCATGTTTCTCTGACTGGAAAAGGTTCTTGAGGCGATCACCGTATTAACTAATACACTGTATTAGTGTCGCAAAATGTGTTAAAACTGGCATCAGCTTTAATCTTATATTACTTTGTATGAATTTCTTATAATTTTTTTTATGCATGTGTATCAAACTTAGTGTGATATCTCGGCCGATTGGTTCCCTGCACGCATGGCGATTGCAAATTATCATTAACATCATTAGAATATGTTTGCAAAAAAGTGAGTATATAGTTAAAATGAACAATTTAGTTTCCGATACTTCTGTTTACAGGAAAGTAACGATAGGTGAGGGGAAGATGGAAGCTGCCACATTTAAGAAGAAGGCGAGGGATCTACTCCTGCGTTCAGCTGAAGGTAAAGGTCTGCTTCACCTGCTGGAGGAGGCGCCCCGCAATCCGTCCATGAGAGGTCTCCCGAAGATGCACAAACCAGGCGTACCGATGAGACCGATCACCTCCGGTGTTGGCAGCACTCCCCATCGTTTGGCTAAGTATCTGGCTAAACCCCTCTCCGGCGCTATGGGAATCAGTGATTCCCACTTGAAGAACTCTGGGGACATCATCAGACGTCTTCAGAGTTCCAGTTATAGAAATAAAAAGCTTGCCAGTTTTGATGTTAAATCTCTCTTCACTAATGTACCCACAGATGGAGCAATCCGAGCAGTCGAGAGGGTCACCAGCTCCATGACAGACGCAGAACTTCCGCTGCCGAGACACCACTTCATTCGCCTGGTGAAATTGTGCGTGGACTTCGGCTATTTCGAGTTTGCTGGCGAAGAATACCAGCAGATAAGTGGTCTTGCCATGGGCTCCCCCCTGAGTGCAGTCATGGCCTGTCTGTTCATGGAGACGCTGGAGAGAGACAGTTACAAGGATATAATCGGCAGACACTCAACTTGGCTTCGATACGCGGATGATGTCCTTGCCATTGTCCTCAGAAGGCCGTGCTTACAACAAACTCTGACGCGACTCAACTCCGTCCACGAGAAAATCCAGTTCACCGTGGAGGAGGAAGAGGATCAGAAGTTACCTTTCTTGGACACTCTGATCCATCGGGGAGACGACGGCCTACGTTTCTCTGTATATAGAAAGCCTACAAATAAAGACGATTGTATCCACTACTACTCCGCCCACAGTAACAAAACAAAATCTGGCGTTGTAATCGGCTTCTTCCTCAGGGCACTGAGGATCTGCAGCCCTGAATTCCTCGAGGATGAGGTTGCTTATATAATTGATTCCTTCTTGAAACATAAATACCCCAAAGGCTTCCTACTGAACCTCAGAAAGAAGACCGAGAATATACTCACAAGATCTGATCCTACACCTTCTTCTAATGATTTTCTCATATTACCGTCATGTAACGTTTCCCAGGCGATCAGCAGATACTTCGGCAACACAGTGAGAATCGCCAGTACATCCGGGAATAAGATACACGATATGGTGCGGGAAAAAGCAGCCTGAAAACAACACTAACAGTGCTGTGTATCGCATACCCTGCAGCAGATGCGACACAGCATACTTTGGTGAAACAGGCCGTGGCTTCAGCACCAGGATCAGCGAACACCGAGCTGACATCCGTCACCATAGGATTTCCAACGCCATGGTGGTCCATGTAGATGAAGCGGGACATCTGCCTAATTGGAAAGAAGCAAAAATAGTCCATGGAGGATTGAACAAGCAGCAAAGAGAAATCATGGAAGCTGCCTACATCGCAACGGAAAATAACATCAACGCAGCTTCGGGCAGATTCAAATTATCCAAGGTCGCGGCACCAGTCATACGGTCAACGAGCGGGAGGTCACAGTCAGGTAGCTCGTCAGCTCATGTGTGATATATATATGCTCTGTAATTCCTCTGTTGTATGTATTTCTGAAGAAGATATAATTCGAAACCGGTCAAATACATCTCTTGTATTGTGAAGATACTCATTCTCATTCATACCTTATCTACATTTGTTGACATGAATACGATTCAAGCACATATGTATTAACTTTAATATTATATATAAACACTACACATACACACATAAAAAAGAGAAAAAGAAACATAGACAGATAGAAAGATGTGTGTGTAAGCCTGTGTGTGAGAAAGCATATATATAGAATTTTAGTAGGGCCAATAATATATGCGTTGTTACAGATATAAGGGTATTGACGTTATTACCATAAGCATTATGTGAGAGCGTGATTGAATGAGAGGTTTTACATATTTAATCAGTTTTATGTACACTTATATACCGTGATAAATCTACTTACCCTAGACTATAATATATTTTTTTGTTATAATGTAACTTCATTTGATTCATATTATTATTATAGTTAATTTCATGTTTTATGAATTGCCACTTACATTCAACCCTAGATGTGCGGTGTAAAATGGCGAAATGATTGTCCTAGACAGCAATATTGAAAAATTATAGGGGAAACACACCCTAGATTAAGCTTATCTCGTTAAAATACGCTTTTGGCTTTTATGTTATTTTACCGAAAAAGTCA